TTTTTTTTACTACATTTTAAAGATTAAAGTTTCTAAATATTTCAAAAAAATTTGAAGGATTTCATTGTATACTTTATATAAAATCGTATAATCGCAGTCGCATTTATAATAGTTTCGTGCTGCTCAAAAGTATATTACGTCCGACATTTACGGTACACAGCGTATTAATCTAACTATGAAATCTGTTCTTATAATAGCAAACACGAAGTTTGGAGTACGAAAGCTGGATCGAGTAGCTTATTCTTCAAAGAAATTCTACATGTAAAATTTTTCTGTACGAATTCTATACACAAATGATAATGTATAATCATCAATTGCATAATGTCGATAAATTTTTCAGATTCTATCGTAACGAAAAAGAGAGAGAGAGAGAGGGGGGGGGAGGGCGAGATTATTTTTGCAGTAATATATTGTTATAAAAAAGTATAATATTTAATATATTTCAAGAAAATATTGATTTAATAAATTGAAGTCTATAAATAACAAGTGACATTTAGCAAGTAGAAATTTATATCCGAGTTTGTAGATAGTGTAATAATACATAAAGAAATAGTTTTTTCTCCTTGCATGAGCACATAATCACCTGATTGGTCAACCTCTATCCGAATAATATCGTAAATAGTGACCTACAGCTGTTTACGATCGTCGACAGTAGCTTACAGTATTTGCGTTATCGTTCTATCAACTTTTTATATAGACTATAGGTCTGTTTTTCAGAGAATTCTAACAAAAAAGTTTATTCCACACTAATTGCGCCAGAATATAAATTTAATTAATATTTTGGTTTAAAAAAGGTTAGAAATTAATCACAGTTGGATGTAAATTTTTATTGTACTTCTTACTACTGTTAATACGTCGTAGAAATCCTTGAAGAAACTTCTCTCAAGTTTCTCGCGTTTCGCGTGAAAATGTCGCGTGCAATTATATTGTTTAGGACGCCGATATTCACCATTAGAAGATCGATAAAATAAGTAGGACACATGCACATGTGCGAATTTATATCTTTTTTTTATTTTTATAGTTCATTTGAATAAATTAGAGGGAAATAGTTTTATTTAATATCACAGTTTCTTTTAATAACAGGCACATACACACATACACTATATTCATTAATTATTTTTTAATGAATCGACATTCTCTCTTTAAGACAATCTTATATGAGAGATTATTATTGTTAATGTTTGTATACCTCTCTTCTACACATAACGTAAAGCGTATGTTTCTTTATCCTAATCAATATCACTTGCTGATTATTTTATTATGTTATATGCAAATGGCTTTACGCAATATATAGTACGCAAAATGAATAGTCAGAGAACTTTCTTTGAGACTATATTATTACATTTAATCTACAGGACGATAAAATGTACAAATGAGTCACTTTTGTATAAATTTATGATGATATTTACACACAAATTTTGTATAAATAATGTTCTTAACCTTATTCTATTGAATTATAATCATGTCATTCTATTTGTTCATTTTTTTTCAATCGATGATGATATTTAATAATAAATTGACTGTAATTATATTTAGTATTAAATGTTCTCAATTAATCTTAATCCGAAAGTTTTGCAAAATTTAAAATTTTATTGCAAAAGGAAAAGAAATTTTATTCTGGCTTTTATTAAAAATTAGAATTTGATAATAAACAAAATTTAAGTTTTCATTCTGGATTCTTACGAAAGAAACGTTTCTAATCTAATAATATAAATATCTAGTATCTAACGTAGTTGTACAGCATAAATATTCTCTTTTGATAGAACTAGAAATCACGTGAAGCTCAATCAATGTGCATAGCATCACACACTTATTCTTTCGTACGCGGTCATTCCCTTTGTCGTCTATAAGTACAGTAATCTATAATCTACTAAATCGCTACTGTATTATCTATGTGCTGTACTTCTCCAGTTATTGATATTCTTTTTCTAGCCGTAAAGCTTAATCCTAATAGTTTCCTTAGAATGTGTAAGTTAGCGAAAACTCTTTTTCCTATAAGCTGTCTATAAGCTATCTTTTTATTTTAGAAATTAATAAAATTGATTTAGTGATTAATCTTCTCCAGTTCTTTAACGAAATTGTTTTAAATGTATTTATTAAGAGTTGTAAGTTAAAACAAATTTCCAAAAGGAGAAGAGACTTGTAGTGCTATAGTGATGATTGAAAAATATTTATAGTGTGAAAAAATCAAAGATAAACAACGTGCAAGGAATAAAACAAAATTTTCACTTTAATATGTATGTACGTCTTTTAAAAAGTTGAAAGTTCACACTTTCGCTTAAGCACAGTGTTAAATATGTAGAGCATGCCTTATGTAAGGAAACGAACATAATCTGTGTTTTACGTATCATACGCTTGTATCATTAATTCAGAAAATGATTAGGGCGTATATTTGCACGAGATCGTTAAACATAATGGTTTAATACACTTGTTGCGTCAATAAGAGATGAAAATTTAATGTGCAACTATGAATATAAAAAGATATTTTTTATTAATCGCGTAAAGTGGCTTACAATTATTATTAGCGTATAATTATGATCTTCATATCACATTATTATGTTAGAGAAATAAATTAAACTGCTTGATAATGAAATTACTACCAATTCTAATGTATTTAAACGAAGACGACAAGGATTATGTATATTACTTAATTATGTGTATCTCCTTAATTTTTTATTGTAGAAGAAAATTTTACTTAAAAACTTATTCGAGATCTGCATATTTGTCGATGTTTGCTAAACAATTTTTCGAGTTTCAAAACAGTCTCTCATTAAGTAAGGTTATCATGTCGTAATTATTTGTTATCGGAAATGATTATACTTACATCGGAGGATTTCTGTATTTCTTTTGAATGTGTAATATCGCCCTTGGACTCTTCACGAAAGTGTAGGTCTCCTTCTTCTGTATATCGAAGGGTATATCGTAAGACTGTAACCCGCGATTGCACATTCCGCACTGCTCCATTCTTTTTGCAATCATTATTAATTTTTCTCGCACAATTTAATTGCGCAGAAATTTTACTTTTGAAGATATGATACAGTATCGCGCGATTTTCAGCCCTTTACAAAAAAAGATTTCTCAAGGCAGTTCTTGTTCACTACTGGACTGATTGAATTCTTAGTGTCTGTTGTTATAGAAACGGATCAACGCCGAAATTTATTGACTTGCAGTTACTCGTATCCAAGATACGTAAATTATATTTCATGAATCTCATTTATTATGTGTATGAATCAGAATTTTGATTTATTATTTATGGAAAGAGGAAGGATATTATATTTAGTTTAATTTTTTAAATTATATATATATA